TACCATGCGGTGTCTTTGGAGCAGGGCTTCGTGTGCTAGCATGTTTTAAGGATTACTCATGTTGCACATATCAATTGTGTGTTCCATTTCATGGCCAAACAGTATTCTAAGTTATGAATATATTGTTTCATTCTTAAAAGCATTTTATTTGCGAAACAGCTTCTGTGGAGTCTGATCCTGCCCCCCACACCGTCTTTTTATTCTAAAATATATTAAATATACTACTTCAGGAGCCCTAACAGTTGACCTTTCTCTAAATTTTATTTTGTAGTTGTTGGGAGTATCCTCAACATTCACCAATGTAACCATTTCTCTGTCTACACGGCAGTAACACTGACTAAATCCTTCAAGCGGTGCAACCCTTCTCTCCCTCCTTTTGAGCTGTTCTTCCCTCATGAATAGAAATTCACTGCCCTGTAAGTTCCCATCCTAGCTTTCCAGTTCCTGTCATCAGTGTGCTCTCATATAACTGATTCCATTCTGACGCACAGCGACCCTACAGGACAGAGTAGAACTGCCCCTGTGGGTTTCTGACGCTGCACATCTTCATGGGAACAGGAAGCCGCAGCTTTCTCTTACGGAGCAGCTAACCTTGGGGTAGCAGCCCAACCCATAACTCACTACATGCCTACAGGTAGTCCTAAAAAGCAAACAGCAGTAATCTAATGTGGCTCTTCTGGCCAACGTCTCTTATTTCCACCAAACGACTTTTCCCTGCATGGTTCTAGTAAGAAGGTGGGGGGAGATACTGGTAGAATTCACCATGAGTCATTGCAAACAGGATCTCCTGGAGTGCAGGCCTGCTGTGTATAAATGAGCCCTCTGAGAAAGGAGAGAGCTGACCACCATCAAGGGCCAGGAGTGGAGGCCCTGTGCAGTGGACTCCTACATCGGTACTAACAGAGGAGCAGCAGCAGAACCAAGATGGACTTCCCAGGCCACAGAGCAAGTTCAGAGGAGTGCTTCTGTGTAGATGACTGGCTTGCCGAGTGGGGTGCCTCTGGGTGCCTAATTGGGGAGTTGGACTTGTTGACCCATGGAGCTGGGTGCCCTCTGGCTGAGGCTCACCACAGGGGTCTGCCCCTCTGGGCATTTATGAGCAGACCTGAACCTTTGTAACATGTCCTGGTGAACAACTCCCCCCAGCACTGCTCAATCACATGACAACTTGTCTACTTCCGTTATTCATGACCCTTGTACTTTGTGAGTTTCTGTGTAGCCAAGGCTATACAGATATTAGAATCCAAAGAAGTGAAACAGAGAATATTAATTAAGACACTACAGTAGATTAGCACAACTAGTTAAGGAAAAAGAAAAACAGTCTGCTACTTTCAACATGTTGCTGTTTTCCTGCAGAGCTGCATGTGTGGAGTCCTGACCCTAAGTTCCTTTCCTGGCCAAGGGAGGGGAGGACTCTGCTGGGTCCTCACACGCAGGCTCCACACATGCCCCCCACCCCACCCCGCACTGTGGAAGCATCATGCTGTGCTGAGCCTGACTGAGGAGGCCCCCGAACTTTGCTCGACTGCTTTCCACACCAACTTCAGAAGACAGCGCTCAAATGCATCATAGTCTCCTAGAAAGGACTGTTCTCCAAAGGCGGTAACTACACATCCCCCCTCCCCAGGCCCAGTCCGCCTCCTCCCCCACTGACCTTCTCAGCCATGGCGTCCATGTAGTCCTGCCGCTGGTACTCCCTGCGGCGCAGGTGTCTGTACACATGGAACTCTCCACTGCCGGCCCCAGCACTGGAACCTATAGGCAGGACAGTCCAAAGTTCTTGACAACATCCAATTACCAACCCAGTCCACACTTAACCACACAGGACTAAGTAAAGAAAGTGGAAGGATGGGGACACACCACGCGGATTCCTCTCCCCACCCCCCCCCAATATTACACCCCAGAACCCAGCACAGCACCTGGCTTATCATGAAGTAACAACAGGACAAGCTCAGCGTCACTGAGTAGACTGCAACTCACA